GAATTGAATGGACAACAAAACTGCATACTGAGAGTGTTTCTAAGAAATCTAATTGAGAACCCCAAAATTTTGATGAAACTTTGTCGAGTCTTGCTAATTTTTTTTACAAAGTCTTTGTTAGATAACGAGCTACACGTTCATAAAAAAATAATATACATTAGATACTAGAAAGGGGAATGGCCAAATAATGCGAAAAATGCCTCTTCTCTATTTATATTTTAGACACAGTATCAACAGCTTATAATTTTCAGATCCACGAATTTTTTTAGGAAATTGATATTATTTTTTATAATTTCACTACTATCAAGTTAAAATCGCTCCATGAAAAAAAAACAAAACTTAATACATAATTTTAAAACCTTAAAAATTCAGAAATGAGTGATAGACTGCAATATTACGAGAGTACCAGTTTAACAGAATAAAACATAAGCAAATATCATAGAAAATAATGTTTATGGCTCTCTTATATTCTTTGTGCTGCCGCTTTGTACGAAAAATTGTTTATGGACCAGAGTACAAGGAGACTCTTATTAACTCAATAAAGAAAATACTGAAAATCGGGATTTAATCGGTATAAATATGAAAAACTTTTTTTTTAAATATTCAGCGGGACAATTTTCTTAAAATCAGTACTCTGCCGACAAAATCGGTACGAATGGTCACCGCATTTATAAGGAATACATCGTTCTAGATATGATTTTAATTTTAAATGCCTTCGGCATTTCCGAAGATAGCAATGCTCTAACTTGTTCTGAATGAAATAGTGCTGTAGGAGGCCAAGCTACATAGTTTTTCTGTCTGACAGAAAGGTTATGGTGCCCTTTTTTATCTGAGGACGAGTTATATTTTAAGCTTATGCCAAACAACACATTTGCTTAGTTCAATGCCGCTTTGAAGAAAAATCGACGGCATTTGACCAAAAAGGACCATTCTTTTAATTTAACCTTTATTGAACCATTTTCCGAGTTCCGGAGACTACATAAACCTTTCTCGCAGAAACTGATGCTACTTTCAAATCAGGATGAAAATTCGCTTTAGAAAATATACGAGTAGACAGTTTCCATCCCTGATTATAAAATTTGGCGAGTATTTTAATTGTTGTTGGTATTCCACTGGCTTTAGTTATTTGCTTGACGCTCACTCTGCTTAATCTACACATTATTTCATATATATCCACATTCATAAATATAAATTACATACTTATTTACATGTTATACATATTTCATTTCAATTTGTTTTTCTTTTTTTTTTTTGGATCATTTATATGTAAATATATCAGCCAAATTAAAAACCGGTAGCCATAAATTCAAACATGTTTAGATTAGCGTCGCGTCGTGTTAATAAATTTAAGAAATTAGCAGCAGTGGAGATGAGCGGAATACCGATAAAAAGAGACAATCCTAATTTGGACATCGGTGCTGAATATATTCCTTATTTGTTATTTTGCATGAGTTGACCACTTCGGCTTCAATAAATTTGCATATTGGCAGCAGCTTCCAACAGCTCCTACGGCAATTTCACTTCATTGGCAATCATTTTTGCGCTTGCCATTTTATTAATGATAATTTACTACTGCTATTCATAAATTTGAGTTAATTAATTATTAATTTAAAAATTTTGGTCACTAATATTCACGCAAATATTTTGTTGAAAAAGAGGCGAAATTGGCAAAAACAAAAGCTTGATCAAATGATACAACAAACGAAAAATATTAATAATGGAAATGACACGAATTATGCAAAACCAAAGGACCCAAAAAATTTTACCAAAGGAATGTCGACAAATTATAATCACCTTGTACAAACCATTAGCTAGGCAAAGTGTTTAGACATAAGCGAAAATCGGGTGTAATTAGAGTGTAGATTTAATACGCCGCACAAGTAGCAGCGCATTCATTGTGAACTTGGGAAATTAATTGCTGTTAGATCGTTTGATTCACTAACTTAATCGCTTAGATATTATATTTAAGTTTCTCTGTGTACGCATAAACTAATTTATTAAAATTCAAAATGTTTAATAACAATTCAATGCATTGAAATCATTGAGTATCTCGGTTGACCCTCTTCTGTTACTATACATAAATCGCCATCAACATGCTACACATTTACCAACATTGAACACAGGGTACCCCATCACCTCACTCTTTGCTGTGTCTACATGGAAGATATGTGGGGAGCTTCCCATAAATTATTAGCCACAAAAAGCAGAAATTAGACAGTAATCAGGTGACAGCCACCGTTAGCGTATATTGCATGTGAGTACCCAGTGGGAAATTCTTTAGAGTTCGGACATTGTTTTTCGAATAAAGTGGTTCTCAAAATTATGCTTCATCACGAGCCGACAAGTTGAAGGAAAGTTTTTTTTTAACCTTACGAGTATCATGAAATTCGAACAACTACGGAGGCGAATTCGAAATTCATTTTCTGCCCGCACATTCAAGCTTATCCTATTTAGCAATTGAATTTAAATTCATTCTTTAAGAGGTACAAAGATAGCTTTATTGCCACTGCAGACACTGACTTGGTGTACACGGCACCTTTCACTAATTATGCAATCTATAAATTAGCTTAAATAAGCCAGCTCCAGTTATATTTTCCGCCTTAGAGCCGTCGGTATGTAAATTTTGTAGGAAAGCTAATTGCATACTTTTACCTTTTTACCATGGGCATCCTTATGTACAATGGCTCTACACCACTGATCGTTCGCTCTGACTAAAGGTATTTATACTCAAACTACCTTAGCCAATATCGGATCTCAAGTCTTACTAAAGCTTCTCCGACATTCTCCGAAAACCTTCAGTGCTCGATTTACCTTCAGCGCGGCATGAGTTTTCCCCCTCAGCTACATATTTAGACTTCCACCTAGATATTTTACTTCCTTAGAAAAAAGGTTTACACCAAAAAGAACCGGAAGGTCAAAACGTTCGATTGTTTCTTCGATGCGTAAACCAGACTAGGACTGTCTTGCTGTAGTTGAGTTCGCTCTCTCGACGAACAAAAATTACGTTCTTCAAATCTCTCCTCATGCCCGCGCTTTTGAGAGAACTATACTACGTAAGATATATGACCCTGTTCGTGTAAGTAAGACCTTTCTGCACTCTGCATGAAGAACTGGCGCAACCTCACAAAGGCTTGTACTGCCATATAAGATACCAGTTATTCGACTTTTCCCGCGTTGTATTAAGTTTTTAAGCCTATGGGAAAATAAAACCAGCGATGAGGCTTGCACCAGCTACTGTGCGTGCACTGGCTAATCGATGGTGCCAAACGATACCTTATACATTCGTGAATAATCAGCGCTAGGCCCCCGGAGCATTTGTTGCGGTACACTTCAAAGCGCTGCCTAGCGCCTGAGGTGCATAAGTATGTATGTATGTATGTAAGTAGTTTTGGCGCTGCATATGG